ATTTATAATAATAATAGTAATATATATATAATATATAATATATATAATAATAATTATAAACATATATATATATATATATAACAATAATAATTATATATAAATAATGATAATAATGATATATATATATATAAAATAAAGATATATATATATATACTGTATATATATAATTATACATACCGTATATATAATAACTAGATATATATAATTATTATTAGATGGCACTCACCATCACAGAGGCGATGTCCTCCGCGTTGTCTCCGTCCAGGTCGAACTTAAAGGTGACCATTTTACTGTTGTGGGTCTGCAGCTGACACTCCACCACGCGGTCCGCCATGTCGGACACCTGAACGCACCACAAGGTGTTACACAGTGTGTTGAATATTTAAATGTGTGTATTTATTAACGCTATATATATACTATATGTGAGGTGACATCACCCTTGTGATCCTCAGACGAGCCCTCGCTCTCCGCCTGAACTGCTTTGTAGCCGCCCGGCAGCTCACTTCCTGGTTGCCCTTGTCTGATTGGCCGTCGTTGCCGTCACTCAAACCTGAGGTCACTTCGGAGGCGTAGCTACAAAATCAGGAAGTGAAGAGAGGAGAAGAAAGACAGAGTCCGGTCATTTTGATGTTGATCTTCATAAGTATAGAGATAAATGTGTGTTACCTCTCAATAGGTGAGGAGAACCCGCACACTGATCCAGATGGCTGTCGCTCGGTATTGTGGGACACGGCAATGCTCTGGTGGCGACACGAATGGAGAGATTTAGATTCAGTTCTGTTTTCCCATGATTCATAGGGAAAACCACCTCCAGAAGGTCAGTGAGACGTTTGACTTTATAATCTGATCGGTCTTCATAATCTCAGAGCGTAGAATAATTTATAACTATAAAAATATTACTTTTATTAAAGTTGAAAGCTCTTGTCTTTAGCCCCGCCCCTTGCCTGTAGTAGGCCCGCCCCCCCAACCCACCTTGGGAAAGCGCAGCACGGGAAGGGGCGGAGCTTTGGATGGAGTCCGGATTAAAGGGGGATGAGCCTGGGGTTGAGAGGTTTCCTGAACCACTGGAGCAGGGGCGGGGACAGAGTATAGGGGGGCGTGGCGAGGGACTACAGGGGGCGTGGCTTCGGCCTTCTCCAGCACACCTGCGTTCATCTCACGGTCCGCTACCAACAAGAATCATGAATAAAGATTAAATCATTATAATAAATGATAAACAATAACAAATAAATAGAATTATAGACATTTTGAGATTTTAATAATAGAATATTATTAACCCTGACATGTAGCCGTCGTGTACTCGTCTCCGTCTCCTTCCGTCCTGCTGGAGACGCTTCTCATCCCAGAATCCTCTCTGCTTGCCGATGTCACTGTTGCCGTGGGCGGGGCTTGTATCCAGGAGGGGGCGGGACCTAAAACAGCTGCTGAGTCGTGCTGTTAAAACATAAAGAGCTGACTTTGTCTTTTATTTAATTAATAATCAAATTAATCAAATATCTTGAATAGATAGTGAAGATATTGAATATATTGAACCAAGAAAGACTATAGATTTTAACCCTGATTGAATAAAATAAAAGGTTTAGTCGTCACATGTCTATCTCTGATGCTGTTTAACAGACTAAAGAATATAATCAGTTATAAAGCCAACATTTATTTTAACCTCCATATTCTTATTCTAGCAGAATAAACCTGATATAATGTAGAATATGAAGACATATTAACATGTTACATATTATTATGCATTCATAACCTGCGTATAAACAGTTATTAACTAACAGTATAATACAGTTATTGCTGCTTATAGTTGAGAAATATGACAAATAAAACTGATGAACAGCTGTAGGAGTAATCTGTGTGTTAGGGAAACAACTTTAGACACACCTGATTGGCCGGTCTGTGATTGGGCGGTTTCGGCGTCCGGGGGGCGGGCTCAGACTCCAGCAGGCGGTGCCGTTTCTCCCGCTGACGCTTCACGGCCGTCACTCGGTGTCTAATCGCTTTGGCCACTGGCTTGTAGTCCGCCTCGCACAGGAAGCCCAGCACCACCTGAGAGAGACACAGACAAGTGAGACCACCTCAGCTGGGGCGACGTCATCAACATGATGTCATGTTGTCATGATGTCACGGTACCATCTCCTGGGCGACCTCCTCCGGGATGTCCTTGTACAGCTCGAACAGGAACTCGATGGCGTTGTTGTCCTTGTACTTCCCGTGGAGCTTCTTGTTGTGGTCCATCCGGAGCCACAGTTTCAGGGCCGCCTTCGAGCCATCGTCCTCCTCGGCCAGATCCACGTGGACCCCCAGTTGCTCCTGGAAGAACCGGTGGTCCAGCAGGTCCTGAACCGTGAACCTGCAGCAGGAAACACCAAAGACACAAACCGGAGAACAGGTAGGTTCAGACGAGTCCAGTTACTTAGTCAGTGAGGTTTATTTTGTAGTGAAAGAAGCTTAATACTCGTTTTAAATTGATGGAAATTTGAATATCTATATATATCTGTATATAGATTTTTTTTTTGTGGCTTCAAATTCATCACATTTAAATATTAAGAGTAAAAACTGAAAATAGTGTATAAAATATTCACTGTTGACCACTTTGAGCTAATGTTGCTAATGCTAACGGCTAACTAAAGGAAAACAGCTGGGTGACATAAACATCATTAACTAATCAATACTTCATCAATACTTGCTCAACTTTACATACGTACTGCACAAAATGAATTGATTGATGATCAATGTTATCTGAGTTGTTTTTCCACTGCAGTGACTCGACGTGTCCAGCAGACGGAGCTGTTTCGTGTGTCTGATCACCTGATTGGTGTGTTTCACACAGAACTTAACTGCCGCTCTGTGGACGTTACCTCTCTTTGCTGTCGGTGCGAATGCAGCCTTCAATGATCTCCTTCAGCTCAGCGACTGCAACTTTGAGAAAACTGTCCGGTTTGATTCCCTGAGAAACAAACAAAGATGAAACGTGTGACCAAAGCCAGTAAGTAGACGGTGCTCAGGTGGGCGGAGCCTCACGTTGGTCACTTTGCGGTAGATCTGGGCGGCGTTCTGACACTCGGAGTACGGATACTCGGTCGTTGCCATCTCCAGGATGCACATGCCGAAGGCATAGACGTCCACGGCCTCGTCGTACTTCTCCTCGTACATCTCTGGAGCCATGAACTCCGGGGTCCCTGAACACATCACAACAGTAACTTCAAACAACTGAGGTAAACGCATAATTTTGCCCCCCTGCTGGCTGCGTTCCTACCAATCACGCTCTTGGCGAACGAGGCCTTCTTGAGCGTGGCGAGGCCCAGGTCTCCGATCTTCACCGAGGCTGTGGGTCCGGTGATGAAGACATTGTCACACTTGAGATCTCGGTGCAGGATGGGGGGGCAGCGGGAGTGCAGGAACTGGAGCCCCTTCAGGATCTGGAAGCTCCAACACTGCAGCAGCTTCAGCTTCATCTGACGGAACCTACGCAGGTACCTGACGGGGTTCAGAGAAACACACCTGGTCAGGTGAGCTCAGGGGCGTTGAGGGACTAAGATGTTGTGGGGCGTTGAGGGACTAAAATGTTGTGGGGCGATCAGGGACTAAACTTATTTGTGCTCTATAGTGGACTCACGTCTTTAGGATTCAGGTCTGTGTGTGCTCTATAGTGGACTCACGTCTTCAGGGTTCGGGTTTGTGTGTGCTCTATAGTGGACTCACGTCTTCAGGGTTCAGGTCTGTGTGTGCTCTATAGTGGACTCACGTCTTCAGGGTTCAGGTCTGTGTGTGCTCTATAGTGGACTCACATCTTCAGGGTTCAGGTATGTGTGTGCTCTATAGTGGACTCACAGGTCTGTGTGTGCTCTATAGTGGACTCACGTCTTCAGGGTTCAGGTCTGTGTGTGCTCTATAGTGGACTCACGTCTTCAGGGTCCCGGAGGTCATGAGCTCCGTCACAAGGATGGTGCATTTGTGGCCCCTCAGCGAGGACTTCCAGGAGTCGAGGAAGCGGACGATGTTGGGATGCTGCAGAGTCTTCAGCATCTCCACCTCCTCTGTGAAGCGGTGACGCTCGGCCTTGGTGAGCCGGTGAGTCTGAAGGTGAAAGATGATCAATAAACACATTGATTTATTTATTGATGATAGAACACGTGAAGGACAGCTGATGATGACACGTTACCGCCGAGCATCATGGGAAATCTGCAGCACAAACACACAGACATGATCATTTAAAAAGAATAAAGCTGAGTAACAATAATGAGTAATATAAAACATAATACTAATAAAAGAATATAACAAATCAATATAAACCTGAAGTAAAATAAAGTGAAATGAAATATTAATAAACTGAAGTAACATCTCTGAACTTTATCTCTTGGTCTTCACTTTGTTCAACAGACGTGTAAAATAAAATGTCATCAAATCATCAATAAATCAGAATAAATAACTTTGTTTAACGTGACCTTTTGGAGGAAGAACCATAAACACACAACAGGAAGTTCATCACAGAGAACTTTGACCTCATTAACTGTGAGTGTGTGTGTGAGAGAGCTGTTATCAACATCAACCAGCAGCCGTCTGTCCATTAAGATATCAGATACTGTGTATGGTACAAGACACTGCGGAGTCAGCGTTTTATCTCTCTCACACACACACACACACACACAACCACACACACACATTAACACACACACACATTAACACACACGTCTCATCCACATTCTTCTATTTTTCAGTTTGAGCCCAGTGTCTTTTTTTAGTGCATGTGAGCGTGTCTTCAGTGCACGTGAGTGTTGTAGTTGTTAGCAATGTTGTAGTTGTAAGCAATGTTGTTAGAAATATTGTTGTTGTTAGCAATGTTGTTGTTAGAAGTGTTGCTGTTAGCAGTGTTGTTGTTGTTGTAAGAATTGTTGTTGTTAGCAATGTTGTAGTTGTTAGCAATGTTGTTGTTAGCAATGTTGTTGTTGTAAGCAATGTTGTAGTTGTTATAAATGTTGTTGTTGTTAGCAATGTTGTAGTTGTAAGCAATGTTGTTGTTAGCAATGTCGTTGTTAGCAATGTTGTAGTTGTAAGCAATGTTGTTGTTGTTAGCAATGTTGTAGTTGTAAGCAATGTTGTAGTTGTTGGCAATGTTGTGTACTCTTGTGTACTGTTGTGTTTAGTGTGTGTACTCTTGTGTATTGTTGTGTATAGTGTGTGTACTCTTGTGTACTCTTGTGTACCTGTAGCTCACACCAGGCCACCTCCCTGGTGGTCTCCGTGTCTAGTCCTCTATAGACCGTCTTGAAGGATCCTCGTCCGATCTCGATGTTGAACTTCAGGAATCTTCCGTCCGGAGACGAAGCCACGGCCTGCGTCTCCTCTTCATCACGCTCCTCCTCCTTCTGTTGCCACGGTAACGCCTCATTGTTGGTGTCTGACAGCTCTGACGGCTCCTCCCCCGAGTCCGAGCTGATGTCCCGATTGGCCGGGGGGTTGGCCTTTGAGGTTGTCATGGTAACAGGAGAAAGAGGAGGAGGAAGAATATAATCTTCTTCTTCTTCTTCTTCAGGTCTTTTCTTGGTTCACAGCAGCATCCTCCTCCTTTTCCTTCTCTTCTTCCTCTTCCTTCTCCTCTGCCTTCTCCTCTTCCTCTTCCTTCTCCTCTTCCTTCTCCTCTTCCTCCTCCTCTTCCTCTTCCTCCTCCTCAGTCTGTAGTCTCTTCGGTAATGTTTGTGTCCCTCGCTGTGATGTCAGAGAAGTGGGAGGAGTCACCAGAGGATTTAATTGAGCTGGAACATACATTTGATTATTTATTCTTTGTTTCTATATTTCTATTTCTTCTATATGCTCATTTTATCGGAAACATCTTTAGACTTTGAAATAAATAATAAACAACTAATAATACCTAATAAATATCTACTAATTAACTCTCATGGATAACTAATAAGTACTAAACAACAAATAACGTATAACTAACTGTAATAAATACGTGTTCTGTGTCTGTTGTTGTGGTTTGATGTTTTTTGTTTAATGATGCTCTAATCCAGGGGTCACTAATAGGCGGACCACGGTCCAGGTCCAGGTCCATGTCTGGACCCGGACCTAAAACCGGTAGATAATTGAGAATTATTACATTTTGATTTAACGCTTCTATTTTAACCGGCGCAGCTTTTCCAGACTTTACAGCACTCATTTAGCGGTATTATTATATATATTATACAATATATATTATATAATATATATATTATACAATATATGTTATACTATTTATATATATTATATTGTATTGTATTGTATTGTATTGTATTATTATCGAGTAAAGTGGACTCACTGTGTCCGTCAACAGTTCCTGATCCTGAACCAGTGAAACCACAACAGAAACCAGTAGAGCTGCTTAAAGGATCCCAGAGTCCTGGTCCCTAGGGGGTCCATCGTGGTCCTCATGAAGTCCACTAAACCCTAACCCAAGTCTTCCTCCTTCTTCCTCCAGTTCTTTTAAAGTCCTCTCTCCTCAGAGAGCTCGCGCTCTGCATCGCTGTGAGAGAGCACGAGCTCTATCAGCGGAGAGCAGATGGTGCGAGCTGTAGCAAGCCCCGCCCACTGGACACCTTTCACCTGGCCTGATAACACACAGACACCGGAAATACGTCACAACCGTCACTTAAAACATTTCATTTTAAACCTCTGATCCTCGTTTAGTCACGGTGACGTCATCACCGATATTATCCACGAATAAAGAATAATCAATAATTAGTAAACAATATTAATCAATCATGTTTTCTACTTTTAGTCCATTTATTTGTCAGAAGATTCCATTTTTATTAAATTATTTTATATTTATTGTGTTTAATTAACTTCTGAAGTTATTGATTTATTATATTGATGATTTCATATTTCGCACATCGAATATACAAACAAGTAGGAAACGTTTTATTTTTAAATATATTTATATTTATATATTAGTTTCTAATCAGATCCAGCAGTTGAATGGTAACGATGAATGTTAACGATGAATGTTCACGTTAAATGTTATAGGACTATTTCTCACTTTTATCTTCTTACAAAGTTTTACAAATCAAACAAATGAAGTGATTAATCAAAGCAATATCCAGCAGATCAACCCTTAATATACATTTATATTTGCAGTTTTACATAATTTTGGCTCCTTATTGAGAAACAATATACATACTGTATACAGTATATATATTTATAATGGTATGCATCTTTAAATAGATGTATATGAACTCACAGGGGATATTTTCATATATATATGCAGCTGAGCTTCATAAGTAATAAAACATGAACAATACACGTGAATGCTGTTTGCTGTGTTCATAATGTGGCTGATAACACATGAGGATGTAATCAGTTATTGATACATTCTGTATGCTGTTACTTTACTTAAAGTCAGTCTTTTTATGACGGGTAAGTCGGTATTCTGGATCTGTAATAGAGATATTTTCTTCTTTTTGATGCTCTGAGGTCTGTTTTTAAGATAAACCTTGAATCCTTAAATGTTGCAAACCACAAACCAAAGCAGAGTTATTGATGTTTGTGGTGGAAAAAAATCTTTTTAACCTCCCAGTGAGAAATAATCACGATGGAACTTCTTAAAGTATTAAAAACATATTTAATGAACAGACACTTCAATCAAAATTCAGCTGAATGGATAGAGCTCTTTCCCCACGGATGGTTCGGAGGTCTAACAACAATGAATACACAAAACAGAGTATATATGCTCGTTATCTCGTCTCCTCTCCCTTCACCCTCCCCCTCGCAGATGTTGTCGGCCGCTGCACCCATCAAGGCCAGCTTCCCTGCCTTATCGTGGGAAGAGGGTTAGGGTGGTATATGCAGGTTTAAGCGATACAAGTTATAACTAAAAGAACCATATGATAAATTTCCACAACAATGTTAACCTGTTAACAGCTCCTTTAAAGGCTTGCATGAGGTTCTTCTTCATAGTCAGTGTTCTACTCCAGTAGAGGAATTTAGACACCTGAAAGAATCTGTCAGTTTAAGTGAACACTATATTCACAATACTTTCACTTCATTGACTGTAAGAAGTTCAATTTACAACAATATTTGTAACCAGATCATGAAGTGAATCTATTTCTACGTCTCATCTTTTATCTCCTGATCAAACGATCAAAGGCTATTATTACTATTATTATTTTAATTGTAATTATCATTGCCCTTATTGATATTTTTTAAATTATTCTTATTATTGTCATTATTCTTTAAATTTGTATTTTTATTGTTATTGTCATTCTTGTTATTCTTATCATTATTATTATTATTATCATTATTGTTATTATTTGATTTAACTTGATTGTATTAAATTGAGTTAGTTTGCTGTCATTATTACAATGTAAATAAGTCATAATACTTTAATAGTTTGTAATCATCTTTTATTCATAGTTTTGGTCCTCATGTCGGATTCAATGTGTTTTACATTAGTTTGTTTTTTATTTTATTTTGTATACATATTCCTTATGAATACATATGATTGATAGTTTGTTTAAAGTGTGTTATTAACAATATTGAAAGACCTGAACGATCGATCTGTTATCGATTAGCTGTTTTCTGCGATCTTCTTATACTGTCTGAAGTATCCCACAATCCTTTGCGCCCTCAGTAGTTTGCCAGTCATCGTAGGAACAGACCGAAGTGACGCTGCAGATCTTCGTTAACGAGCTTTTCTGTTTGTTTCTGCTCGTTTCTCTCCGGACATCATGAAGGAGACAGCGGCCAAGCGGCGGGGGGACAAGGCGGGAGGTCGGGACCGGGACTCTAAGGACCAGAACCAGGACTCTAAAGCCGAGAAGAAGGACCTAGGCCTTGAGCCGCAGGATGTGGAGATGATGCCGGAGGAAGAAGCAGCTAACGCGGCTAAACAACCCAAAGAGCTGGACAACATGACGCTGGACGGTAAACACGAGGTTTAATTACCGGGACGGCCCGGTACCGGAGATAGCATGTTAGCATCAGCGGCTAACAGACGAGTTATTTTAAAGGGACCGTGTACAGTTTAAACATCAATGTCACCGTTTGATGCTCCAGGTTAATTAGCTTTAAAGCTAATTGTCATCTGTAGTCTCTTGGCAGGTTCAAAACAAAGCACAATAACAAACAGTGTATGTATGTATGTATGTATGTGTATGTATGTATGTATATGTATGTATATGTATGTATATGTATGTATATGTGTGTATATGTGTGTGTACCAGTCAAAAGTTTGGACACACCTTCTCATTCAATGGGTTTTCTTTATTTTAATTTGTTTCTACATTGTAGATTAATATTGAAAACATCCAGAGGATGAAGGAACATCTGGAGCGTTAAACAAAGCAGAATATGTTGAACCCCTGCAGCTCTGATGACAGCTTTGCACACTCTTGGCTTTCTTTCAGTCAGCTTCATGACGT